CTTCATTTTCATAACCGGTCACTTTCGTTTTCACATTGGGGTTGAGGGCGGCGTGATCGTCCTCTGCCTAGAGCAGCAGTTCAGCTTGCTCCGGCCCTGCAGATGAACAATGCAATAACATCCGTTATTGGCATAGAGCGCACAAAACTTTTGCGCATGGAAAAAAAACTTGCAATGCTTTTCTCACCACTTTTGGAGCTGGTAGCTGAAGCAGTGCGAAAGCGGGGGATGCAGGAACACTGGAAGATGCTTTCACAACAACACAGTGGCGGTGCTTCAAGTGAGATTTCAGATTTCGACTAATGTCTATCCAAAACCTAAACCCATCACAGTACTGTAAAAATATGAATTATTGTTTTACAGTGTTACAAAAATTATGCTAAATTGATGGCATATCCGCAGCTGTATCCTATCTAGACTACACCATAAAACAGTAACATGATTAAAATACATAAAATCATGAATTTGGAGTATTTGAACTAGTCAAGATTCGAACCCAAAATAAATTTGAAATACAGTACCATAGTGCACACACACGGTCCACTAGGCCATACGAGACAGAGACATAGAGAAGATCATGCCAGTCAAATGCAGATTCTCCGGGTCTTGAAACGCCTCTGAAATGATCGATGCTTTGAATCGCTTTAGTCACGTGACCAAGTGTTTCGAAACACTTTAGTCACATGACCTGGGTGTTTCGGATCATGCTTCGGTGCAGTGTTTCGAAACACTTGCGCTTCGGGATCTCGACACTGTGTCGAAACGTCAGTTTCACGTCAGCCATCCCTACTTGTTGGTTGCACTGTAAATAAATAATCTGCACTTGGTTCCGCACCTTTTTGTTTCTTGTTTTGATCACGCTAAAACGTGACAGTGTTTTGAACAGTACTATACTAAAGTACTTCAGTTAATCTGTTGTGGTAATAATATAGTTGCTATGGTAACACAGGTGTAATATAAACAAATTACCCAGTGCTGTAGTTTTTTTTTTATTACAGTATCCCACATAGCAAACGGACTTGGCCCAAATGTGGCCTCATTATGACACTGCTGGCGTGTTGCCGGCACTGGCATACATAATGTCAGCCGAATGTGGGCCATACATGGCAATGATGGCACTGCATGCATTACAGCAAACTACATTTGGGCCAGTTGTGGATGGGTGGTGTGTGGCTCAGATCAGTGTAGCGATTGTTTAGGTAACATTAGGCTCGGTTGTGGCTCAGTTTTTGGGGTTTCTGGTTAAAGTATAAACTTATAACTGAGAATTAGTACCAATACCAATTGGTACCAACTGGTGGTACCAATGGTACCACCAGTTAAGGGTGATAAATTGGCTGAGGTTCGGGCCGGTTATAGCCCTTGTCTTCAATCCAGTTATAGGCCACTTCAGGACCGTCATTTTCTGCGGTACTTGGGCCGAAGGAAAAGTTATTGTGTGGTCCATAGCTGGACCAGAAAACATTTGCTATGTGGGTTACAGTTTATTATTCTACAATTTACCACACTTTACTGTAGTAAAACTACACTGTATTTCCTTAAACAAAGTGTTTGACATTTTAGTCGTTTGATATACAATAATATAATGTATTATAAATAATATGTCGAGAAATAAGTGTGGAATAGCAGAACATGTGCTGCAGTTTATTACAAGGTTTCTGTAGCGTAATGTACAACACCAACACACACAATACAGCACTGCAGACTACTACACATGAGCAGAAAACACACTTTATACAACTTAACAAAGGTGTTAAAAATATCAAGATCCCATAATGCAACTCAAAAGCAGAGATAAAACAGGAAAAACTAAAAACACAAGTCAGAAAATACGGAAAACTGCAAATTTGCAGTTTTTTACAGTGTATCAATGGTCTTAATGCTCAGGTGCTTTTTCAGTCCGCTCTCTAAAAACCCACTCCAAACACAAGCTGAGACACAATTATAATCCTTTCAAGAGTTCACACTTAGCTGATGATTTACAAAAGCTTGTTTGGCATGCTGTCCCGGGAGAGAGCCCCGAGCTCAAGGGCTCCTCGAGCCTGGGGCTTCCTCCCGTTGGCAGAGCAAGAGGGGAGCCCGAGCTCGGTGGATCTCAGAACTCCCCTGCCGCTGTAGCTAAGGGAACGCAAGGGATTAGACAAGCTTGATTGTTATGCATGTTGAATGTCTTTGGATGGTGGGAGGAAACCGGAGAACCCGGGGAAAACCCACGCAGACACGGGGAGGACATACAAACTCCTCACAGAAACACCCACCGGTCCTGTGGAACCAGGGCCGCCGTGCCGCCCAATCACAGGTAAAGGAGGAGAATAGGGGAGGAGGGGGGTTTCTTCCAAACGAAGATAAAGTGAACTGAAAACTGTGGCTATTTATAGTAGCTTAGGGCTCATATGATTGGAAGATGGTGATTAGCAAATGCGAGACCGGCCGTGATAAATCATAAGCACGTGATCCTCTCGAAATTAGTTTATGAATAAACTTCACTTAAATGATGAAAGAGCAGGGGCCTCATGTATCAACGCTGCGTACGCACAAAAACTTTGCGTACGCCAGGTTTCACGCTCAGAATCGCTCACGTTTGGATTTACTAACGATGAACTGAATGTGGGAATGTGCGCAGCTCCACGGCAGCTTTCTGGCTGGTGTACGCACATTTTTTTATGTGTGTCTGTTTTATTTCCATTGGCGACTCCTAGAGGCAGTTGTGTTCAATTCCTCTCTACAAAGTGTCTGAGCCTTGCAATGGCAGCTGTATGAGACGGGTTCATCTAGCAGGTATATAAGGTTTCCATACCATACAGTTGACCTGCCAAACATTAAAGCACAATTTGCAGCGGTCGCCTGTTTTCCCAATGTAATCTGAGCGATCTACTGCACACAGATTACTATAAAGACACCATCTAAAGATGAATTTGCATGCGTGAATCAGAAACATTTCCATTTAGTGAATGTGCAAATAAAATATGATGCACAAACTCATTAATGATTCCTACTTGTCTTTCTCGTGATAAATAGTTGGCAAAATCTGATATGTAGCGGGGGGAAAAGAAGTTCTTTAGACGCTGGATTCGAACCGAGTTCATGCTCGAGCGTGTGAAAACATGTTGACCTGCGTCTTACGAGCTGCGCTACTGAGACTGTTAAGGGTACTGCAACATTTTACACCTATAAATCACACTATTCCTGTTGTAATTCACTCAGTGCGATGTTCAGACCCCACTGCGTTAACCGCATCAGCTAAACTCTCCCACTCAATTTTTTAATTTTGTTGTTAATTCCGGAGAACAAACTTGCAAATAACACCGCTTTCCTCCAGTCTACCTCTGAAAGCAGCACCTTCAATTCACATTCTGTTCAAAGTTTCTCTTCTTGCTTGCTTTTGCTGTTGCTTTTTCGTTGGCTTTTGCCAAAGTAGAGTCATTTGCATATTCATACGGGGGAGGAGGCAGGGAGGGGTTTTGTGCTCGTGCATGTTGAGCTCAGTTTCACGTTCATTCGGATGTACAAAAGAATATGCGTGGGATTCGACGTACGCAGTGTTTCATACATCTGAATTTTTTTCACATTTACAGCTTTGTGCGTACGCAATGTTTTAGTCTTCGTCTTCGTACATGAGGCCCCTGGTGATTGTTGTTTTAACCTCTAATCTGATGAATGATGATTAACTCAGGAAGTGTCCGTACACACATTTCACACATACATTTGTTTGTACACCTGCTGAGTGAATGAGACCCATTGTTTTTTTGTGTTTTTTTTTGGTAATGCAAAATCTATGGGAATTTCCAATGTATTATTTTGCAAACATCTATATTATTTACCTATTATCTATACATATACAAAAAAAATTACGATTAAACAATGAAACAAGAGCGAAAAACTTTAAACCAGCATACTGCAGCTGAAGTCAGAATTATTCGCCCTCCTGTGAATTTTTATTCTTTTCCAAATATTTCCCAAAGGATGTTGAACAGATTCAGGAAATGTTCACAGTGTTTCCTCTAATATTCGTTCTTCTGGAGGAAGCCTAATTTGTTTTATTTTGGCTACAATAAAACCTGTTCTTAATAGTTTTAAACCAATTTTAAGGTCAATATTATTCACCCCCTTCAGCAATATTAGTGTTGGATTGTCTCCAGAACAAACCACTGTTACACAATGACTTGCCTAATTACTCTAACTTTACCCTAATTACCCTAGTGAAGCCTTTAAATGCCACTTTAAGCTGAATACTAGTGTCTTGAAGAATATCTAGTCTAATATTATTTACTGTCATCATGATAAAGAGAATATATATCAGTAATTAGAGATGAGTTGAAAAAATATCTTTCCTCTGTTAAACATCACTTGGGAAATATTCAGAAAATAATCAAAATTTCACATGTGGGCTAATCATTTTGACTTCATCTGTATATAATTAATAGAAAATATATTCAAAGTTTAGAGAACGTTCCCTGATTCACAATGTTGTGTTTGTTTCTGCAGCCTCCAATAAAATAATGATAATCAGGGACAATCTGACAGATCCATCCGGACAGAGCTTGCGTGAATCTGCTTATCCAGGTAGAAGTGAAATGTCTTGTGAATACACACACATGTAAAAATGCTGGGTTGTATATGTTTGTTCAGATATGGACAAACCCAACGGTTGGGTACATTCATTCACTTTCCTTCGGCTTAGTACCTTTATTCATCAGGGGTCGCCACAGCGGAATGAACCGCCAACTTATCCAGCATATGTTTACACAACGAATGCCCTTCAAGCCGCAACCTAGTACTGGGAAACACCCATACTCACTCATTCACACACACACACACACATACACTACGGCCAATTTAGTTCATCAATTCCCCTACAGTGCATGTGTTTGGACTGTGGAGGAAACCGGAGCACCCGGAGGAAACCCATGCGAACACGGGGATAACGTGCCAAACTCCACACAAAAACTGGCCCTGCCAGGACTCAAACCAGCAACCTTCTCGCTGTTAGTGCAACCACTGAGCCACCGTGCCACAGTTGGGTTAAAAAGTGTGATATATATCTTTAGGTTACAGCATCCCAGCATTTTTAACAGTGTTTACTATGTATTTACCTTATTGACGTCAATGTCTTGCCTTTATTCCAGGTCTAAATGTGACATGTCCTCAGGCGTATGAAATACTGATAGGAAAGTTTTGCATGATGCACGTCAAACCAAACTCCTCCTCCATAGGTAAACGCTGTTATTTATGAGCATTTGGATGCCACACTAATCTGTATTCATCTCTAGAATTAGATGACCTTCGTTTCTGTTTGTTGTTTCAGTCATTTTGTTAGTCATAAGAATTTATATTTAGCCTTATATTTATTTAAAGGTGCAGTAGGTGATATACCTAAGTACTAACCAGTTAGCCAACATACATTAGTAATCACCAACATGCATTAAAGTTGACAGAGCCCCAGTGGATCATGTCATTCTCCAGTTAGAAAGCTTTACAGTACTTTATAATACTACAATTCTGAATGGAAAAACTGTATTATATCTAGCACGTTTACAGCTGTGTAGCAGCAGAACTTCAAAGTCATAATGTGCAATATTTCATGCATGCAAGTATCACTGCTCTCACTCTCTCACACACGTATGGGCGTGGTATTGGGGGGAATAGTGGACCTGACTACCCAGGGCCCCGTCTAGAGAGAGGGCCCTTTGAAATCCCACAAATTTTTTTATTTTTATTTTTTTTGTAGCCTACTTCGAATTAATTGGCCCCTCCAATTGATGTCAATGTCATTATTTATTTCAAAATATATTGATAATACCCCCCCCCCCCCGAAATGGTTTAGTCCGCCCATAGACGGCAGCCGGCAGCAAACAAGTAACGCAGTGAGTCCAGAGCCTGATCATGCTGCGCAAAAAGGCCATCGGGCTTTTAAAAAAAGAAAGACAGGAAGGAAAAAAAAAGGAGGCAGAATGAGGGGAAGCAGCTGATGACTGCTTTCTTTTCAAAAGGTGAACTGAGTTTGCTTGTTATGAAACTACATCTAATCAAAGTTAACATAGTCAACTCCAGACAGCTGCTGCTAATGCAGGCCATTTTGGTCGCATATAATGCTAATTTGTGTACAGTCATTACTAGGGAAACCGTAATATTTCAGCGCTCCTAAAGCGCCCCCTTGTGACAGAGAATACATTTTTATTTCCAATAAATTTTTTCAGCTTTTTATGGTCAAATTATTGCAATTATCGATCCATGTGTAAATGTGAAAGAAGTTAATGTGCCTTTTAAAAATCTAAACAATTAAGTAATACTAATATAAGAAATGATATACTTGATTTATCCCTTTTAATGGTATAAAGGTTGAAATGCCATTGTGTTAGATATTTTGTGTCTGTATTCGTCTGCAAGATGTCTGTTAAAGATCTCTTGATCTGGAAAGCACCTGCTGTATACAAACGTCTGGCAGACGTCTGTATGATGTCAGTTTTACACACATTCTGAATTGCAAACATCTTAAAGATGTCTAATAGAAGTCTATTTCACATCTGATAGGAAACGTCTTGTAGATGTCTTGCAGATGTGAATGCAGACGTCAAATAGACATCTCCGAGATGTACGTGTGCTAATCAAAATCGGCCATTAAGAATCAAGATCGGCGCATAACTAAAAAGAAAATGGGTGCTCCTACATTTTTTGGGATGCTCCTAACTTTTTGAAGTTGGGAGCACCAGTGCTACCAAGTAAAAAAGTTAATTTCGAGCCCTGTAATGTATGTATGCTAATGTTAAATCTTTAGCTTAGTTTGTCAACCAGGCTGCTTGTTGCTGTAAGTAAATTATGGGCCAGGCCAGCTAACGTTTCTGAGGGTACAGTTGTCTCGTGTTCTCCTGTTCAAAAATAAATGTTTTTAAATCAAAACTTGCATCAGTATCATGGATCAAAATGTCAGTCCACAAACCCGATGTAGCCTACGGTTTAAAGGTATTTGAGCACAAGTAGGCCAAATGCATCAATTTGGTGGTGAATGAAAGAACCAGTCATTATTATAATCTGATTTGATTATAGATTAAAACACTATTTGTGCATGTTTATATTCAAATAATTAAAAAAAAATGTGTAGGGGGCCCACTGACATTGAGAGGGTACAGGGCCCAGAATTTGGTGCTACGCGCCTGCTCACACGCTTTGTCATTAAAAAAGCTACAGTGTAAAAAACGTTGCGTTATTTATTTAACCCAATGGTTAAGTTAAAAATATTTGGTGCCTTGTTGGGTTATTTTAAACCTTTATTGGGTTATTTATTTAACAACTCAACCAGTTGGGTTAAAATTTGTCATTTTTAACAGTCTTTCTTCTGTTTTATCAAATTGCCGTGTCGTGTTTTTTATATCCGTTTCACCTGGACTCTTATTAATTATTGATGATACAAGCGTGCGCTTCATAGCCGATCTTTATATGCGGATAAAAATGCTTTCTCTACCTCCGTGTTCATCTCTACAGTTGTTTTGGAGGAAATGATACACACATTTGAGATATTCCGCCCTCATTCTAGTCTTTAGGACCCAGTGGAGACATCAAACCGAGTCGCGTCCAGTCTTGGTTAAGCTATGTTGTCTTAAAAAACACTGTCCTTTCGCTAGGAAACTATATAGTAACATCTAAACGCTAATATAGACACATATATGTGCTACATTTTATTCAGGAAGCTGCTGGTTTTCCCAAGGAGTATGGAATCGTGGCCGCTAGATGGCGCTAAATGAATCGCTAAGTTATTTTCTGTAGACCAGGGGTCACCAATCCTGGTCCTGGAGGGCCGGTGTCCCTGCAGGGATTTGCTCCAACTCGCCTAAACTCACCTGCCTGGGTGTTTCAAGTATACCTAGTATGACCTTGATTAGCTTGTTCAGGTGTGTTTGATTAGGGTTGGAGGTAAAACCTGCAGGACACCGGCCCTCCAGGAACAAGCTTAGTGACCCCTGCTGTAGACTGTAGCTTAGTCATGAAGAAGTCAATCTTGAACCTGGAAAGAGCAGGGCAGAAGCTTGCTATATCATCTTTTATCGGAAGAGGATTGGAGATCCCGCTTTGGAGATGGTGCTTTAACAATTCTGCCAGCTATCCGTTCTTTACTGCCATACAGATTGTGCAGCAAGATGGTTCAGCCCTCATACCAGGAGGCAAAACAAGAATTGGTTGATTTGCGACCTCTAGGTGCATTATTTATGACAATAAATGTTGGATATTATTTAATTCATGTGTGTATACTTGTATTTCGGTCCGTACTAAGAGGAGCAGGAGCAACAGAGACAGAACCCTCTTGTCCTGCTCCTTGGGGATGAACTAAACTGCTCTCAGGGGTTTGTTATTAGCCGCATTTTCACAGTCGGGTCAGTGCGAGCCAGAGCTTTCATCAGGCCGGGCTGGGCTAATCGCCCGGGAGGTTGAGCAGTGAGGCCGAAATCATGTCGCGTTTCCACTGTCGGGCTAGTAGCTTGCAGCACGTCACGCAAACCCCGCCCCCAGAACATCCTCCCAATCAAACGTCACTCAACCCGCCCACTTCAGCAGGAATCAGGCAGATTAAGCACACCATCACGAAACTATTGACAACCAAAGCAAACAAATGACATGTTACTGTACAGCAGTACATTGTATGTCTATACGCACAGGCCTGTGTGTTCTCATTCATCATATTCATTTACTGCCCGACCGACTGTTGGCATCGAACATCGAGTGGTCTCGCCAGTGCAGGGAGCGCACTATCCATAATATAACACCACAGAAATTCTCCGTTAAAAACTCGTTAGAAAATGTATTTTATGACATCCACATTTAGATAGACTCTGTCAAACATTCAGTCCGAATGCTCCGGATAGACCTGAAACATTAATTTTTCCCCATAGGCTTTATGACACTTAATAGGTGATTCCCCTTTATTTGAGGAAATTTTGCATATTATATCTTGAGTAAAGGAAAGGTTATTTCAGCACATAAGAGCAAGTAATAAAATATAGCCTATATTTCGTTGCACTCAGCAGCTTTTCACTAATAAAGCTGTTCATGTATTTAAGAAAAAAAAGATAGCCTGGCCTACAGAAAAAAGGTAGGCTAGATTCTGCTTTCACTCACCCAAAAAATGCTCTGTTTGCATGATTTGATTAATATCATCGTCTCCAAATACATAATAAATAATATTTCAAACCTTCTCCTGTGTTTATTGTTTTTAGAAAATATCTAAAATCTTTTTTTTTTCTGAGAGGCATAAGCTTAAATAAAAAAAAATAATTAAAATTAAAGTTTAATGTGGCTTTAAATGGTTTGATTTATGTATTGTATATACAGGCCCGGCGCCAGGAAGTCAAAACTGAGGGGGCACTTTAAATCCATAGGGGGGCACTAGACCTGGTGACTGATTTTGGTCTCTTGTTTCTTTCATTTAGGCTATTTATTCACATTTATTATTACATTGCATTACTGCCTAAGTTACTGACCTAAGGCAGTAATATGTGCTACGTTTTAATATTAATAATAATATGCAGTTTCGCTATTACGAATTTTATTAACGATGCATACCGCTTATTAATGCAGACGGATCATAGCTTCAGTGCCAAACGAGTGCTTTAAATCATATGTTATTCTCCTTATATCCGTTTTATTTTAAATAACAGGCCTATGAATGTTTAAAGTTTTAGGTAAAGACGTCAAATTATGCCCACGCATGCAAGCTGACCCACGATCAGACTATTAATTTAACCGATAAATAAATATAGTGAAATCAGCTTAACCGAGTCATCACGCTTCACGTAGCCTATATTATCCAACCAACATCAGTGTTAGGGAAAAGCTAAATATTACAATCTAATGTCATTTAAAACAATTACTTCATTTTAATGCATTAGTGTAGCCAAAAAAAAAAAAAAAAAAAAAACCAAAAAAGATACCAAAATTCACATGTTATTACCGTTAAAATTGGTTAAATTTTGGCATGGATAACACGCAACTCAACATATAGCCTACAACTTTTTTTTTTTTCATCATTTTAAATGTAAAAACAAAGATTTATCTTAGGCTATCATAAGTGTGTTTTTTTCGTGATATTGTAAACCATCATAAACCATTAGGTTACTAAGCCTACCCGTCATTTTATTTATTAATTATTTTATTTATTAAGCCTTTTTTAATAGCTTGTTTTCAGGTTATTTTCATTTTAGGGCTACAAGTCAAAACAAACTCAATATGTTGTATTTTAGCTCTTAAAATAGAACTACAATATGTTGTTTAATTTTGCATGAGCAAAAAGCAGTATAGCATAAATGACATTTTAAAAGATGATCATTCAGCCTACAGTACCTGCAGCACGTGAGGTTTCTCGGTTGATCCGCGATAAACCCACTTAAGCACTATATTCCATTTATAACACTGCAAACTTGACTTAATAAACGCAAAAGGCATTTATTATGTGTTATACCTTGACAGCTGCTGCATAATGGGATGTTTCTCTACACAACTGTAAAAGTGCGCTTTTTAGCAAAATGAAAGCAAACATTCAGAGAGTTCTGCGTTGTCAATTTTAGTTTAATTGTAGCTAATAATATTAATAATAATATTAATAAATAAATAAAAATATTATTTATAGTGTAGCCTACTGTGGGACTGTGCAGTAAACTAGGCTATTTGTTTTTATTAAAACATTTTTATTAGGCTACATCTTCCCGAACTAATAATTGACTGGCAGTTGCGTCTCTGCTAAAATTAATTTAACAGCAAGTTTCTTATGTGATTTTGCCTTTTAGAGCTCAAGAGAGTTGTGTTTAAATAATTAGTTAACCAAAGCATGTAATGAATTAAGCTGCTCCTATCATGTCACCCACTTTTCTCCCTTTTGAGTTGAGTGCGCCTCCATCGCCGTGTGCGCGTTTTAAAGGCTATTTACGGGCGCACCTGACCTGACGCGGGGACCGGATCTCTGAACTATAGGACTAGCTTTAATCTCACCATTTTCATAATTCAATTGATATGTCATATATTTTAAAATATTTAAATGTGTGTTCTTAAGGTTGGAACTACGGGGGTGTTAATAATTAATGACTTTTCAGTTTGAGTGAACAATCCTTTATAAAAACTGGGGGGGCACAAACTCTTTCTGAGGGGGCAATGCCCCCCTTTACCCCCCCGTAGCGCCGGGCCTGTGTATATATCTAAATTGGTTTAGCTTTAGTTAGTTTTACATTCGTTTATTTATTCAATGTGATTTTATTATATCCAATATTTGTAATGCTTTAAATCATTTCGATATAGCTTCGGCTATTTCATCAAGATATGACACTATTGTTTTGAGTCTGCTAAAGTGGACACGAAATTTGCAAATTTTAAGTCTTTCTGTTGTATTCGTATGGTGTATTATCTCCTGCGCGGCATCAACAGAGCTGTAAAGGGAGCGCTTCTTTGCTCAGTCTCACACACAGGCATCTAAACGCGCACAAACACACCTTTTAAGCTTAACAAAAACTCTTGAAAACCTTTACTGGCTGCTGTGCCTTTATGACGGTGTAAAGATTATTATGCGTTAATGAAACATCAAGGAGGACGCAGCAATGTTACTTATAAGTTAAAACTACTTTATTATTTTATGCAACAGCCTTACATTTAAAAGAGAAACATAAGGGTGATCATAAGCAAAAAGACCCCAGACTATAAGGCAAGGTGTTTTCTTTCACTTATTTATTTATTTGTTTATTTGATTGGCGCATGTACTCATGTGTGATCGGAAAACTGTGTCCGCACTCAGCTTCTCCTTTCACTCCCCCCTGAAGCCCCAGTTGGCCCTCCTTGGCCCAAGGTATTCGGCGGGCCGAAAAAGGCCGGCCACTGGCCCCAAGAAAGCCCCGATTTGGCCCGATTAGGCCCCGGAAGTGACAGTGGAAGCTCAACTGGCCTTGGCTCACCCTGGCTCGCTCGCTTTAGGCACGATAGTGGAAATGCAGCTTTTGTAGGAGGAGTGGTACTAAATTCATAGATTTAAATAAAGCTTTGCTAATGTTTGCTGTGTTTTTTTATTTACATATAAATATGACTACTACTACAACTACTACTATAATAATAATAATAATAATAATTTATTATTATATAGTGGTTAAGCCATTTTTTGGCAAAATAACCCAACAAATTTGTTATTTTTGTAACCCAAATTGTTAGGTTAACCTTAACAACCCAAATGGATTGGGTTAAAATAACCCAACAGAAGGTCGGTGCCAAAATGACCCACCATTGGGTTACCTGTTGGGGTATTATTAACCCAACTGTTTTAAGTGAGTAAGGGCCCTATCATACACCCGGCGCAGTGTGGCGCAAGGCGTGGCGCAGTAGTCTTTTGGTAGTTTCAGCTTGGCGCAAGAGTCGTTTTGAGGCGTTGCACTATGCTGTTTAAATAGCAAATGCATTAGCGCTCATTTTTGCGTCCATAGGCGTTCTGGTCTAAAAAGGAGGCGTTCTGAGGCGCACTGCCGGCGAGTTGCTATTTTGAGAAACTATAATAGATTTTTCATTAGACCAAAACTAACCCGGTCTAAACTCCAGTGCAGAGTTGCACCTCGCTTACACACTGCTTAATACACACAAGAGAGCAATAGGCAAATATCTTTACATATGAAAAAATGTAAATATTAAGGATATATATAGGATATAATAAGAATAGATATAGAATATAAATATAAAGGATTCAAATATTACAAAACATATTATTTTCTAGCCTACATAAATATGAAAAATCACTGCTTTTATGTCTTCTTCATCTCGGGAGGCTTTTTCAGTTCATTCATAACAATTTGCTTTTGTATAATGTTATTATTATTAGCAGTATTATTTATTATATCCATATTTATATTTGTTTTATTAAAAACAAGCTTAGATTTGCCCACCTGTCAGGTTTTAGACCATATGGGGCACAGCATGTGTTTTAGGATATAACTCAGGTTTTTGAGCACATTTTGTTATTATTATTCATTTATTCGTTTGCTGGAAATTAGAACTGAATTTAGAAATAGTTTTGAAATGATTATTTGCGCTTAACAAACAAAAATATTTATTTATAGACTAATTGATGTGTGTGTGTAAAGGTTTCCCTATCCAAGAGCGAAAGTGAAAGTAGATCCATTATCTCTCATTCTCACGCAGTAGATGCTCTGTTTAACTGTTTTCTGTAATTAACTGTTAACTGTTTGCTTGTGAGATGCTCATTTTTTCCACTTAGACTTACTTTGCGTCCTGTAAATAGCGAATTCGCTCTTGGCGTGACGCAGCTGGGTCTTAAAGGTAATGGGAGATGAGACTCTGATTGGTTTATTCTCTAAACACACCTATAACTCATTAAGAAAATAAACTAAACACTTTTAGACCATGCGCCACGGCGCAAGGCAGATTTCCCGTCCTTAAATTAGCAAAAACGCGTCCTGACACGCCCTGAAAGCATTTGCGCCCTGCGTTTTGCGCTCTGCGCATGGACCGTCAAAATAGAGCCCTTTGACTCTATGCTTAGTGTTTGGCCGGTGGCGTGCAGGACTTGAACTTATTTCTAAGCCATTCTTACATTCTATTCCAGAGTGAATATTGAGAGTAGCGGTGAACAATATAGTGAGCGTGTCACATGCTGTCATTGTTTAGAAACGAGCCAATGTAAATATAAAGGCAACTACAGCTCAATAAAGCACGTTAGGCGGGGTATCGCTATTGACTGGTGTTTTGTTGTTAAACTAAATATCAATCTACATCATCGATGCTGTAAAAGGTCCTTATGAAACTGAAAATAGTCACATTAATCTATCACCGGGAGATTTCAATGGCCGAACAACACTTCTGTGCATTTAACCCATGCATAACAACACAATCTTCATCAGCTCTGCGTGACTGAAATAGTTTTAAAACAGAAAATTACCTGTCTAAAAGAAATACTTCAGCCATAGTGTCGTCCTTCCACCAGCGTACAAAACTCTCTCCAATGCTGATTCAGGAGTTTCACAAGTTTTGATTCAGCATTTGTTTTTAGCGCTGTCACTCGTGTCCACATGAGCGTGACTTGCAGGAACTGGCGGATCTGTGTGAACGGCTTCATATGTTCGAATCTACATTCGCTGACAGACAGTTTGGGCTACTTATTAGAATTATGGGAAACGTTGGCATGACAAATTTTAATTGCATGAACATTTTTTAGTATTATGCCTTACCCACAATATAAAAACATAAACACATTTAGATCCTTTACTGTAATCATTACTATTAGAATATGAAAACTTTCAACCAGCACAACAAAAAATGTCTCTGAAGACAATCACCTACTGCACCTTTAAGTTTTAGATCTTAAATATTTAGTGCATTCACATTAATGCTAGCACTTTTTTAATTGGCAATAAATAATTTATATATTTATTTTAGCTGCATTTAAAAAACTGCAAACATTTAAATTCAAACACATTGTTGAGTTTTAAAGTGTTATAAATATGTCATGTTAACAAATGCTGTTGTTTCCAGGCTATTGCAAATCATCAACAACAATCACGCACACTTTCAACATATTAAACAATGGGGGAGAATATGCAGTACTCATGAATGATACGGGTGCAGGCATACAAATGTGGTTTCTCCAAAATACATCTGAACTTCTGCAGTGTGATTTCCTCAATTCAACAGGTTTGTCTTTTCCAACATCAATACCAATGTTATACTCATATACAGGTGAAATCTGAATTATTATCCCTCCTGAATTATTTGCCTCCTGTATGTTTTTTCCAATTTCTAACGGAGAGCAGATATTTTTAACACATTTCTACACATGACAGTTTTAATAACTCATTAGTAATAACTGATATATTTTCTCTTTGCCATGATGACAGCACATAATATTAGACTAGATATTCTTCAAGACACTAGTATTCAGCTTAAAGTGACATGTAAAGGCTTCACTGGGGTAATTAGGGTAAAGTTAGGGTAATTAGGCAAGTCATTGTACAACAGTGGTTTGTTCTGCAGACAATCCAACAATAATATTGCTAAGGAGGCTAATAATATTGACCTTAAAATGGCTTTAAAACAAATAAAAACTGCTTTTATTCTCGCCAAAATAAAACAAATCAGACTTTCTCCAGAAGAAAAAATATTACAGGAAATACTGTGAAAAAATCCAGAATCTGTTTAACATCATTTGGGAATTATTTGAAGAAGAAGAAAGACTTTTTGCATTGTCTGAAATGAACACAGCAGGCAGGCTAATAGCAATCACGAAAACACAATCATTATGCATGTGCTTTGCAATTTGATCTACACTGATCATCTTGGTATCTTGTAAAGTCTAGAAGGGATACAGCTGTGGATACTTGGCATGTACGCGTCAATATAGCACACTTTTTGTGCCACTGTACAACAATTACTATTTTTATGTTAATCTGACGTGTAGGGTTGATGCTGGATTTAGGGATAGACGTTAATAAAACACAATGTAACAAACAATTTAATAAATAATTTAAATAATTCTCATTAACTTCCAGCCAGAGCTGAATCCTTTCTAGCAACAACCTCAGGATACACATGCTAGTGTTTTTATTGCCGTAAAACACACTGATTGCCATGAAAATCCAATGTTTATCTAATTAATAATATAAAAAATTTTCATTACCTTCCAACCAGACCTGTATCCCTTCTAGCAACTACCTCAAAATAAACATGCAAGGGCTTTTCTTGCTGTAAAACACCTAAAACACACTAAATATTGCCATAAAAAACTCTGAGTTTATTCTATTTTAAAATGCTCTAATCTATCTATCTATCTATCTATCTATCTATCTATCTATCTATCTATCTATCTATCTATCTATCTATCTATCTATCTATCTATATCTATCTATCTATCTATCTATCTATCTATCTATCTATCTATCTATCTATCTATCTATCTATCTATCTATCTATCGTCCTTTAAGCAGAGTAATGAGTTCTAGAGAAAGTACATATCAGCATAAAACCTTTGAATATTTTAGCCCAGTTGTGTTTAGTAAATGCAGTAATAATTTCAGCTCTTCTATTGCGTAGGATTCACATCAAACTTAACCTCATGTATAACCACCCAAACCACTGGCAACCCAAATACCACCACCGAAAGTCTTACAACCACCCAAACCACTGGCAACCCAAATACCACCACCGAAAGTCTTACAACCACCCAAACAACTGGCAACCCAAACAGCACCTGCACTAACAAAGCATGCACATTTAAAGGTAAGGTTTTGCCCTTGTCTATAAACCAGTTGATTGTGATAAGAGAAAGCAGAGCAATACTTATGAATTATGAATAAAAATGTAATTAATTCAAGATGTTCGAAAGTTGACATTTTACTTGCTCATAAATCCCGGGATAGTCTACTCGTTTGCATACATTGTCAGTGAAATAAAGACTAAATCTATGCACAGTTAATAGGGATGTAACGGTATCAGAATTTCACGGTACGGTAATACCTCGGTATGAATGTCACGGTACGGTATTTATTGAATCATTTACAGGAAAAAACAAAACTTATGAAAATACTCCAAAAAAGTGCCAAAAGTGTCAATGACATACAAATTAGCCATCTATCTGTTAGCTTTGAAACAGGAACTTCAATTTTAATAACAAAAAAAATATTAAACCATGTAAAAAAAATAAAGTTTCAATTCAGTATTGTTGAAAAATCATCACATTCAACATTTAATCACTCACTCACTTAGATAGAGATGGGTTTAAAGGAAAATTATCATATAAATATAATCTGGTAAAAGCTGGTATCTCTGGGTATTTACAATGTCCACTGCAACAGAAAAACCCCTCTCATTTGGGACTGAGGTTTCTGGGACAAGAGAGATATCACTTGGCCCAGGTTGACAGCAGTGGGTAACGTTGTGCATTGTCTTTCCCCCACTTGAGAGGACAAACCATGAGTAAGATAGAGGTCTCATGTCTGCATCAATCTGAACAGTGTGCTGACAACACCGCTATTCAGTACGCGCGCGACAACACAGCTGATAAGAACTCGCGCGACAACACCGCTATTCAGTACGCGCGCGACAACACAGCTGATAAGAACTCGCGCGACAACACCGCTATTCAGTACGCGCGCGGCGACAACACCCGCTTTAGAGTTTTCCGGCTCTTTTTCATCCCCGCTTCTAGCAGCACACTCCATTTCCGCATTACTGGATCTGTAGCGACAACAGACCGCAAGGGATGATGGCCAAGCCTGGGCTGATGGGAATTGTAGTTTCCGGTACCTCCCGTTTGCTTCATTCGCCTGAGCAAATTTTCTCAGAAGACCTATAGTTTTACCGAGTCATGCGACTACGGTAATATCTAAAAAAATTAATATTACGGTATGACTGTATTTACAATACCGTTACATCCCTAACAGTTAATTATTTGGATGTAAAACAACAGAATCTAAAAATCTAAAAATAAAATCTAATAATCTAAAAATAATTATGGCGAGAACAAAAAAAAAGTTACGTCATGCGTCATTTTATTCTGTTACAGTTTTTCTCAGACGCTTTGGTGCATTTCTCACAACACTATTTACATTTGCACAACAGTTAATGCAAACTGCAAAACAATTAGTGCAAACTGCAAAAGCTAGCTGATAACCTGCAAAAGTGCATCACTTGCTCAAAATGGATAGTTCATTCCTCAAAAGCAAGTATTGATGTCAATCAAAGTGTCAGTGTCATCAAAATGAAAAGTCCTGACAGCATTGTTTATGAACAAGATAGTTAAATGACTTAGTCATGTTTTCATTATGACACTTTACTCTGTACAATTTTTCAATGCTAAAAAAGTCAGATTATGGTGACACTTCCTGAAAATGCTCAAGACAGCACTGTATACTATTTGCACAGCCATTTGAAAACTACAGTAAAGTCAGACATCACTGCATTTACAGTTTTTCCTGTTTGCTTTGACCTGGTTAAAGAAACTAGGTTCCTTTTTATTTTCATTTTCACTATCCCAGCAGAGCAGAAGACATGTCTTGCAAATGTGTAAACTCTTTCACATTGGGTAGACACATTTTCCCCTCCATTTTTCAAAACACGGATGTCATTCAAGCAGTGGAAATTCTATTGTTTTAGCTATGGTAACCAAACAGAAATAATCTATTCCTAACCATTAGAAACTACCAAGATCAGTTTGAATTCACTGAAGCAGCGGTTTGACACTTTTTCACACAAATCTTCAATCAGCAATCAGTCTGCAAACATTACAAACGATGGAAGGTCTGTGTTGTTCTGTGCCAGCATTGATGGAGGAGGTCAATAGTGGCCTATACTCCCAATAGATTTGACTGTATATTAGTTTACATGTGTTTTCTCTAATATTTACAGTATTTTTTTTCACTTTTGTCTGTTTTTTACAGTATTTCAGTTTTCAGCCACAGTTTGAAAATTGTCATGAATTCAATATAAATGTAATCAAAGCACATCTTATTCTGGATTCAATTCTTTGCAAAAAGGCAAATTTGAGAGCCCAAATAGAAAGACAACAAATGGCATTGGCAATAGGCTACAATGGCAAGCAATGGTGGTGCACTGAGTTCTGTATTTTGTATTCTGTTTTCCATTGTGTAATGATTAATTGAAAGAGCTCATATACTTGTTTGCAAGTTGTGTTGTTTGAAGGTAAAACTAGCTTTTGTTTCATATTTTAAATGTTTTGACACGATATGTGCCTTTTGCAAGCAAAATGTGTCATTTTGACCATGAGTGCCGCTGTTTAGGCCTGTGTGTTAACTGTTTTGAAAATGTGGAGTTTCAGTTGACAACTGCATCCAAGCAATCGAGAAAAACTGTAAATGACTTAGTCATGTTTTCATCATGACACTTTACTCTGTACAATTTTTCAATGCTAAAAAAGTCAGATTATGGTGACACTTCCTGAAAATGCTCAAGACAGCACTGTATACTATTTGCACAGCCATTTGAAAACTACAGTAAAGTCAGACATCACTGTATTTAGTGAGGTATTTAAGTACAAGACACTGAATATGTGTTTCACATTTTTACTGCACATGCTCTTTACAATTCTAATTTATTCACAGCATTGTGCAAAAGAATAAATACAGCCTTATTTACAACAAACATAAAGTTCCTTTAGGTAGAGCTGTGCACAACTGTAAACTATACTGCAGTACATATTGGACCGGAGTCTACAACATACGCAGCTCTGTAAATTATTCATCAAATTTTAAAGACATTTTCAGGAAAATAAAGATTAAATTGTTTTTTATAAAGTTTGCTTGGCCGATTTTGACATCAAGTTCAACATTTTTGTCTGTAATGACTCAAGTAATGAAATAAGGACTGTTAGTTTTATATTGAATGACTATTCAGCATTTACATGTTTAGTTAATTTTGACTGACATGACATAAGCAGATGATAATGTTATAAACAGCAGAGAGTTGTATGAAAGCAATTGATGCATGTACGAAAGCATTTGCAATTTGTTGAAAGGAATGAGAAACTGCTACTAGGATGTGCACAAATGACTAATTGTTTTGAGAAATGCATTACTGTTGTGCAAATGTAAATAGTGTAGTGAGAAATGCACCAAAGCCACTGAGAAAAACTGTAATCATATAAAGTGAATGTGTCTTCACAAGACTTGGATTTAATTGCTTAATCCATGAGAATTTATTTTTTTGGAAAATGTAAAATATCCTTTTACGGTGTGAGAAACTCCCACAAGTGATTCAGCATGTGAGTGACCATCAAAATAACTCAAAACGTGAATAGCAAACATTTGCACAACATTTTGTGAATCACCGTATGATTACGGAAATAACCTCAGACTCTTATATCAAGCTAATCAAGCCTGTAGCCAGCCTGGTGGAAGAGCTGCTTTTTTTTTCTTTTCAAGAGTTCATTCACTCAGTAGCTGATGATTGATAATAAAACATGTTTAGCATGCTGTCCCGGGAGAGAGCCAGAATATCCTCGAGCCCGGGGCTCCCTCCTGTTTGAAGGGCGAGAGGGGAGTTTAAGCTCAGGTAGATCTCCAGAACTCCCCTGCTTGTGAGCGTGGTGTATGTCTTTGGACAGTGGGAGGAAACTGGAAACCTGGGGAAAATCCACGTGAACCCAGGGAGAACATGCAAACTCCACACAGAAATGCCGATCAGATTGGTGAGGGCCTGAACCAGTGGCGATCTTGCTGTGAGGCAACAGTGCTAACTACTGGGCCGCCGTGCCGCCCTATCAGAGAAGGAGGAGTAAAGGTCGAAGTGGGGATTTTTTAGGATGAAGATGACTGAAGTGGAAAACTGATTGGTGCAACATACAGAGCTGATGCAGTACCAGCCATGCTTAATCATGAGCACATGATCCTTTTTGAAATTAGTATTTCTAAATAAACTGCACAAAGAGTCGTTTTTTTTTTTGCAGTTATTTGCCTCATTTCTATTTTCTCACTTTTTGGTCATCATAACCACACTCTTTGATGTACCAAAAAATGTTTCCCAAAGATTTAGAAAAAAGAAATATGAATAATAAATAAACTAAATAAATAAATAAATAAAATTTAT